GATGGTGTGGCCAATGGTGCCACCATGGAACTGCTTCGGGGGCGTGGCAGGCCTGGGTCACTGCCGGTTCCACCAACCCAGGCTGCCAAAACATTATTTGTTCAGCCAAACCACTCCAAACTGGTATGAATCCACCACTGATACACAAGTATAAATCTTATGGAGAATTTTGGGTCAGAAAGTAGATATCTCCCTTTACACTTTTGGACTATTTAATCAGAAGTTGAACAAAAATTGAATATAACTTATTTTGAGATATTTTTTTTAAAAAAAGAGCCAACTAATAAGTTAAGATGAACTTCAACTCATGATCTTTAGCTATATAATTCACATAAACTGATAGTGTGGCTCAATGGGACTTTTATTTAGATCAGGCTCCCTATAATTCCTGTAAGGAGTTTAAGATATGTATCTCTTAGGCTTAGTCCAAGAAAGACACAATAAAATCCAGCCAATGTTCAGTTTTTTTATTTGCTTATACCACATAGACAGAATCTTGCCAGGTTAAATCTAAAGTACCTTAACCTGAAGGATATACATTGAGAAATTACAGGGAGTGGCTTTTCTAAATCTCTTTTCCCACAATCCAGCTCTGAACTGTGCTGTCTCATGTCACACCCTCTCCTTGGATTATGTTGCATCCTTCCTGGGAACCTGCTGCATTACTGTGGTTCATTCCATCATCTCTCCCTTCGTAGACACATTCCATCCCAGGAGCAAAACTGGGAGGTCAAGACGGAAACTTACCCAGGGGACTTCACTAATCCACTAATAAGGGGAAAATAGATTAACTCCTATCCTGAGGAAAACCTTTATCACTCTTCTTTTCAGATGATCTCATGTTCAGTTTTAGATGCTACTGCTAATGTTTTTGTTTTTGTATTTCTTATGTACCAAGGAGTAACTCCTAGTGGGATTGTCATGAGTAGAATGAATAGAGTTTGGTTGTACTTCTAATTTTGACATTTTTTAATATGCCATAGAAAAAGGGAAATTAGACTATAAATTACATTGTAATGTGTATAAAGCGAAGAAGTTTTCAATTAGTCATCTTAAATCTAACCATGATACAAGAAGTGATGTGCCAGTGCCTGGAGGCTGTCAGGGTCTGGATGGGAATGAACAAGCTTGCACTCAACCCTGACAAGACCGANGCATTGTGCAGATGTGGGGCATGTGCTCATGTTTGTAAACTGGTAGGGAAGGTAAGTAAATTCCACCACTGCGCAAGAGACCTCAGGCTCTCAGTTCTATAATAAGTAGAGTGAGGAGATTCTTATGCTATAGGAAGAGCACAATAAAGCAGTTGATTTGAACCCTGCATGTGTGGGGTTCAAACCAACATCAAACTCTATATCTAACTGCTTGTGCCTCACAAGTATAGCTTATGTAGATGATACAGATGATATAGACATGGACATATGCACACAAAGAAGTATATAAAAATTCTAATCCTTCAAAAATGAAAAATAATACAAATATATTTAAAAACTTTCAAAAGAAAAAGTGATTGCAATAAAAGCAACCATTTAAAAAGATTTTGCATATGGCAGAATAATTATATGAACGTTTTTGTATATTTTGAAAAATTCAGAATTATAAATTTGCTCAACTCATGAGAAAAAACTTGCACAATTGCATAACCTTGTCTTCCAGCCTTCTGTGATCATAAGAAATAATAACTGAATTACCAGAAGTTAGGCTTTTCTACTCACAATCCCATTGCATTTAGTAGAAACTGAAACTGAAAGCAAGAAAGAAGTGTCCATGTTTCTTATATGCAGATTTTTTTGGTAAGTATCCTTCATCAAGAGGACATTTAAATTGGCTCACTTATTGATGTATTTTTTTACAGTTATATAGAAAGCTGTGTGTTGTTCCTACTGAGAATATGTATCAGCAGTGAAATATTGCCAAGGAACATGTGCGAGTCCAAACTGCTGTGGGCAGCCTTTTTAATGCAATATGTGAATGTCATTCTATTTTTTTTCTTTTTTCCTACTACTTTGATTCTAGGTTGAAGAAATAGAAGGGGTAAGAAACAACAATCAAGCTATTATCCACTTCCTTGTTGACTATACCTCAAATTGTAAAGGTTTAAGAAGTATAAAACCTATGTCCCTGTATTTGGGGATGTCATGAGAATAAATATATACCTACAGAATCCAAATCAATATACAATATTTGCTTAGCTCATACATTTACATACTAATAAGTTGTCCAAGAACCATGATAGAGCAGTGATTAGAATGCAGTACTGCAGGCTAATTCTGATGACTACCAGGAATTCAATTCTGACCAGTTCAAGACTGACTCAGCCTTCCATTCTTCCGAGGTCAGTAAAATGAGAACTCAGATTGTTGAGGAAAATATGCTGACTCTATAAACTGCTTAGACAAGGCTGTAAAGCATTATGAAGTGGTACATAAGTCTAAGTGCTAATGCTATTTTGCATGTTACCATGATAGTGGATATGTGTACAACTAATAGTGCAATCATCTTGAGTCCTAGTATTTATGTGAAATAGTTTCACAGTGCTTCATTGCCCATGTTTCCCAGCACTCTTGATGTGGCTGCAAAGTCATACTTAGGCATAATGTAAGGTCAGAATTCATGCCCTAAACTGTAGCGTGTCTCACTTCCAACAACNACCTTTTCTGTTCAGGGCTCAAGCCATGTGGCTCTGTCCAACAATAAATCATCTTTCCAAGCAGCCTCCATGTCTCCAGTGAATTCTTCCCCACTTGGAGATGAACCCAGAAGGACATTTCTTTCATCGCACCTTTGCATGGGACCTTCAAGATAGGTTTCCTAAGGCCATTTTACTCCAAAGGGGCAGGGGTATGTGAAAAGAACACAGTCTTGGCCACACATCTTAATAATAACCAGTTTATTTACATGTGGACAGGTTGATTTCAGGGTTGCAGGCATTTAAAGGAGAGCATATTAAATCCACACCTAGATTATCAATATTGTTCTTCTTCCAAACCACACCAAAGCTCGGTCAATCCCAGGTCCCATTTCAGGATAGATTCTAGTAAAGCAAGTCCACAGCATTCCACCCCACAGATGGTACATTCCACTATTTGGGATGGGCAAGCAAAGCCCACTGAATCCCCACAATGGGCTTAGCTAGACAAAGATAATGGCTTGCTGTTCTCTGGGTGCACATATACAAGGCCCAGGGGCGGGGGTCGTCTTCAGGCATCCATAGGCATCTTCAGGATCCATTTGCAAAAGCCTCTTCACCACGATCAATCAATTCTGTGCTGCAGGGTATATATAGCAAGTGCAAAAAACCCACAAGGCCACACCCAAGAGAATCTCCCCTGCATTCAAGAGCCAGTCACACATTGAGATATCCCAAAGTCCCAAGAACTAAAGCTGGGGGGAAAAACTTAACAAAAGTAATTATTTTTTTAATAGTAAATAGAATCATTGGCTCTAATTGTGCCTGATCCTGTAGGATGAAATCTTTCTTCAACTGTCCCTGGGAACTGCACAGTGTGTGGGCATGTTATATTTTGATGCCCCAAGCATTCTCTTTCCTCCACTAAGATACCTTGAAAAGGAACAAAGAGAGAGGGGGGGAGGGAGGGAAGGGGAGAAGGGGGAGAGGGAGGGAGAGAGATTATTTTACTCTTTCCTGCAACTCATGACCAGCTGTCTTTTCTATACCAAGGTTCAAGAGCCATGTTTATGTGGGGTTCTTAATGCTCCCTGAGCTTGGTTGTTTTCTCTACCTTCTATTGTTTACAAGCAATTATACAAGCAGTAAACAATACCCCAATCAAGACAGTACCAAATGAGACAAGCAATCAAGCAGAAAATAATAGCCTAACACTTGTATATAAACAGAGAGTAAAGCCCACTCCCTTCTAGCACTGATGATGTTACCTAGTTGGATAATGAAATGTCTGCAAGAAAACATCCCCATTCAGAGAGCACTAAGGATCCCAACGGTTCAACTCGGAGCTACAAATATTATCTTCTATTAGTAGCAGTGTTTGTATTAACGTCAAATCTGAGACCCTGCTGGAGAGAAAGAACTGGGCAAGGGAAAGCCTTCCATCTACCACTTCTCTGTTGCAAATCCTCACCTTTGTAACTCTTTTGGAGGAATGATGAAGCAGCTGGGTGAGGGGGAGGGGGAAACAGTCCTGTATGCAATTTGGACACACTCTACCCTCTCTCTGTCATACTCATTCCCTACAGCTATTCCAAAGGAAGAAAAAAAATACCATGTTTTTCGGAGTATAAGACACACTTCCCCCTCAAAACAGGGTGGAAATTTGGGTGCATCTTATACACTGAATGTTGCTGAAGCCCTGCCCACCTGCCGGGCCCTGCCCTTTGGCTGTTTTCAGCCTCCACACGCTCTATTTTAGACCTGTTCCAGGCTTCAGGGATCGCCACAGCACATCGCCACCTCCATGCCTCATGTTTTTGGCCTCCTGCCTCGTGTTTTTGGCCTCCTGTGTTGCGTTTTCGGCCTCCACGTGTTGCGTTTTTGACCACTATATGCCCGTTTTTGGCCTCTGCGCACCGCATTTTCGGGCAGTTTCAGGCAACAGGGATTGACATCTGGAACTGCCCGAAAATGTGATGCACAGAGGCTGAAAACAGGGCATACGGAGACTGAAAAAGCAACATGCAGAAGCAGTGATTGGCAGCGATGTGCTGTGGCAATCCCTGCAGCCTGGAACGGGTCTAAAATGGAGTGTTCAGAGGCCAAAAAACGCGACATGTAGAGGCCAAAAACACAAGACACAGGGGCAGCGATGGTCTGTGGCTATTCCTGCAGGCTGGAACAGCTGATTGAGGGCATTCCGGGAGGCTGATCCAACCGCCAATCAGCTGCTTATGTTGAATCAGACTGCGATAATGGGCTGAAGTTGACCAGGCTGTTTGATATTTGTTGTAAGGACACTAGCCAGATGAATATCGCTAGATGCTGATAGGCAGAGACAGATTTTTTTTCTTGTTTTCCTCCCAAAAACTAATGTGCGTCTTATACTCCAAAGCGTCTTATACTCCAAAAGATATGGTACATTTCTTCTCAACATTCAAGGCAGGCAAGATGAAATCCTGCCTGTGTGATAGGATTGGGTTAGAAACAAAAGCTCAAACATCAAGCCTGTTAACAGATTCCTGCATGGTGTAGATAAATTGGTGGCATCTTCTGTAACTTTGCCCAAGATTTAGTTTTCAGCCCCACTGCAGTCTGAAGGTGGCCAGGTTTCTCACATATTTTTCCTACAAACCCTTGTGTCTCTCTTGAAGTTCAACCCCATATCAAAACAAGCATCGCCATGGCTTCTTCCTGTTTCTATCGAGGTATCTCTTTCATCTCAGGAGCATAATTTAATATAAGTTATAGTGGAGCACACCGAGAAGAGCGGGAACATCTTCTCCGTGAAAGCAATGTTAAAGGTAAAGATGTGTTGCATGGTGTCAGCATTGTAGAAGGACACTTCTTCCCCTTCGTAGTCTAAGTAGACTCTAACTTTAATCAGCTTCTCATTCAGGAAAAGTGGGGTGCGTTGAGGAGTGGTGACCGCCCAATATTGCCCTCCGTTTTGCTGTAGGGCCCAGATGCCCTCTTCGGGGCAAAATTGAGTCAGCCCTTTCCTTCGCACCGATTCCTTGGCTACTCCAAAGGCCCAGCCATCGGCAGACCCCACCTCCACCTCCCAATAATGCCGCCCAGACTTAAACCCTTCTGTTGCCAGGACTCGAGAGTTGGTGTCAAAACGCTTTGGGCTGTAGGAGAGGTCTTGCTTGCGGCAACCCATCCGCACTGTCTTGAGATCCGGCGAGATGAGGAGGAGGTGGTTGGCCGTCTCCAGATCCAGAAGCAAGTCCTCTAAGTTGAAGCACATAGCGCTATGTCAACTATCACAACCACAGCAATAGCAATACAATCAAGATCAAGTGAGGTACTAATCCCACTCTATAAAGCCCTAATAAGACCACACCTAGAGTACCGCATCCAGTTTTAGTCATCATACTATAAAAAATATGTTGAGATTCTAGAAAGAGTGCAGAGAAGAGCAACCAGGATGATTAGGGGACTGGAGGCTAAAACATACAAAGAACGGTTGCAGGAACTGGGCATGGCTAGTCTAGTGAAGAGAAGGACCAGGGGAGACATGATAGCAGTCTTCCTATATTTGGGGGACTGCCACAGAGAGGAGGGGGTCAAGCTATTTTCCAAAGCACCCAAGGCCAGATAAGGAATAATGGATGGAAACTGAA